TGAACAATGCAAACATTTTCAATCACCTACTGTGTTCAAACTCCAGCCTCCTTATGCCTGTCCGCAGGTGCTATTGTCTTTGACGTTTTCCAAACTCTTTCCAGACCACTTGTATCATCAAATCGTTTGTGGCGTTCCTCACAACTTATCAAAGGATATCCTCACTACGAAACTACTCTATAATCGATTCGCATTGCTTAGTATCAGCGTGGACATTCGCGAATGGGCGAGGACCTGTAACGCATGTCAACGTTCTAAAGTTATTCGTCCTACGATCACCCCAATCGGCACACTCATTACGACTGATGCCCGCCTTAGCCACATTTACATTTGCCTGGTTGCTATATTATCCCCTTACAAAACTTCCAATGCACTCTAACTTGTGTCGATCGATTTCCTCGATGGCATTGCAGTATATCCAGCAAAGCCACCACTGTCACTTTCATCGCACGCATACTTTTAAAACGATGGTTATTTCTGTGGTACCCGACGATCATTATACTCTTTCCGTTAATTCCATCAACGTAAAACATTTGAGGGCGACTACATACCATTATTGTACCAATGACCTAGTTGAACAAATTAATCATCAATTTAACGCCGCCCGAAAAACATATGAAGGTCCAACACATTGGACAGGAAGCCTAACTGTTGTTAATTACGCTGTTGAAGAAGATATCGGCGATTCTCCTCCCCAGCTTTCGTTTAGCACAACATTTCGATTGGCAAGTCAATTGATTTATCCATTTAAACAGCTGACTAAACCGATTACTCGAACTACGTTCAACGTCTCAAGTATTACGAGCAATGTCTAACGTCCTAGTGGACCACACCACACTCGACGATCGTTTATGAAAGTGATGTCTTGTACACACTTTCTTGTTCCCGACGACTTCGAGAACCCTCTCTCCAAACCCCGAAATGGTCCATTTCTGGTAATATAACACAACCCTTGATAGTTCACCAACAAATAAAGGATCGCACAAACATTACTTCACCATGGATCGCTTAGAACTACCATACAATGAAAGTAACTCACCTCAAAATCATAAGACGCCTAAACAAAGCAACACCAACCCGATTCCAAACAACCCACCAGTATTTCAGTACAAGGCAGTATGCCGAAAACCTCAAGAAGCTATCACAAACTCGAGAAGACAAGTACGATTCACCGACCGTCCACCTTACTACCAAATTGCATAGTGTATCTTATTTCTGCGTTATCGTAGTGCTGTTGGCGATTATTGTGACGCTCCGCTGTTGTGGGCCAGCCCAAATGACTGACTTGGAATAGAATAGACCAAACACATTACACCAAACTGTTTTAAGATGGATTAACAAAATGGTTATCAAGATGAAAACAGTAGGATCTGGTTGACCAATAACACCAAACACAAGCGGCTCGTATCCACGACGTCAGTTTCGTCTCCAAATTAACGACTATCGGATTCGGTCAGTCAACTGCTATGGGCAGCGTACCTCAAACTAACCGAGGTAAAACAATGTGGTCTCTGTTCCAGTGTTCATATGCGTGCGTACGCAACACCCGAACTTTATGTAACGACGTACAAAACTTCATGTTATTCTTAATTTGCTGCTTGAAGAGCGGGAAGTATAAACGAGTAACACCCTCTGAACTTGTTTTCGAAAGCTAAAGCAGTAAAATAAAACAAGGCTGTCAAAGTGAATTCTATTCCATGAATGAGCAAGCCTGAATAAGATACAGGATCACTGATCTTGCAGCTTGGGAATAGTGCAACCACTATATGTGGGTGGGAAACTGACATTCATTGAATTAGGGCACATTCTGAATCTTCGAACTACTTTTCTTTACTAATGAGTAGTATGGGATTTTCCTTTTTTATAGATATTGAACAACCCATAACTGGTTGCACCTGTCGCACTGACATAGACTTTTCAGTCGGTCCCTTTCGAAAACAAAGGCACTATACTCGAGTTTCGCTCTCATTAGAGCTCGTCAGTAGTGCATATCCTCGCCACGGCCGGGACCAGAACTCCGGCCACGCTTTTATGGGGCAACCGTGTTGACGACTGCGCCACTGACCTCATACTAGGCACGATTGAATCATCCCATGTGAACGCTCAGCCACATTTGCTTGTGAGTAATGCTCTGATTAGCCTATCTCCTCGGGAGGAGACACAGTTACTGTCCCGTAAGCTTATCTGCAAGCCGAACTAACAGAAATCACTAACTTGTTGAGCCATATTCCAATTACTGATGAGTAGTAGGGTACTTTCATTTTTATATTCATTAAACATCATCCACAACTGATCGTAGCTGTCGCGCTCTCACAGACTTTCCAGTCGGCTCCTTTCGGAAAGGAACGTCAAACACGCGGCAAGGATATGCAGTACTGACGAGCTCTAACAAGAGCGAAACTCGAGTGTAGTGCTTCTTTGTGTAAGGGGTTGACTGGAAAGTCTATGGGAATACGACAAGAGCGATCAATTGTGGGTGATGTTCAACTTATACCTTTCTTTAGTCTTTAGTTCAAAACTTAATCAAAAAGTACTGACCACTAAAATCCGCTTTTCTGGCGAGTGAAGTAATTTCCCGCAAGATAGCCATAGCTCCAACGGTGATATCACGTTAGACGGTTGCAGAGGAATTTATCAGCACATAGACTTAACGCGTACATCTTGAGCCATGACGATATTCTAAGCAAACTGTAAAAGCTTACAGAATTGTTTGGGACATAACAAGGTTAACTGGATTTCAGCCAAGACATGGATATTACGACCGTCGGGAGTGAATGCGGTGGCTCAGTTTCAAACACGGAACAAGTTCAGCACCTTGCCGTTTGCCATTAATCTCAAGTGCTTGCCGTGTAGGACGTTTTTCCAACTGACAACTGCTAAAAGGTTGTGTCATTTACACCCGGTATCCGCCATTGAGGGGTCTAGTTTTTCTGACGCGGATGGCCAGCCGGATGAACATCTTCCAGTTATCGCATGTCACATACGAACCGATGTCATGACGACTGCGGAGAACCATCTGAACAACACGGTACTGAAGGAGCTCAGAGACACAATGAAACAGTTCATAGTTGGCCTCTCGGAATTGACGAAAATGACGTATAACTGTGAGAAATAAGAGAGATATCGCAACAAGAAGATGCTTAGAAACATGCGTACCGTGTACAGTGCGGTTACTGTATAATCAAGAACAGTTTATCCTTGTTATCTTATTTTACCGAGGCAGTAGAAGTGTGTGAAGGAGGTGCGATACAAACGTGAGTTGAAACAAACAGGATGCGAGAGGGGTGTTCAATTGATATGGGCACCACAACCTTGTTTGTCAACTTAATTAAAGCAGGACAGTTTGAGCTATATTGGATGGTGATTAGAACAGTTGGAGGGCACAACTTACGAATCGAAGACTCGATTGGGTGTTCCGTGCATATCAGAAACCCAACCGTGAGACATCATTACGTGGCAGACCCGAAAATCAGGCTACTATCGGAGCTTACCCTTTGGAACTCATTTAGACTGGTATTGGCTCGAAACAAGGGATGTTGTACATTAACTACAGACCTTTGTACTAAACCACTCGCGGAAAAGTCCAAATCAATCACGGATAGCTTTTCAATATGCCCCAAAACCAGCGTTCCACGGTGCAGTCAATGATCAGCAAATTCACAGAACTGTTAACGAATGGCGGTGACACCCTGAAGACTTTGTGGCCTATTCGAACATAGAATCCTCACTGTACCCAATCAGACAACTGACCACTCACCGAGGTTATGTGTAGTCGATTGCAGTAACACCCGGCCCAAATACGAACGTGTATAACTCATGACATACGGCGTGATCATGAAAGTGGGCTTTATTGAATAGGTCAGATTTTAACATTTGGCTCTTCAGTAACTGAAATGAAACGTTTATATTCAAAATAAACCGTTCAAAATCACTCTTGTCTACTTACATGAACACTGACGTTGGTTCCACAACATTTGCCGATACATTAAATGGCAAACCGAATAAGCGGTGTTTGAGGTAACGTTTTAGCAATTCAGTATTAATTTCTTCTTTCGTTGATACATAAACTAAACCGGCACGATCTTCGCGGATGTCCGTAGTGCATTGGAAAACATTAAGAAAATTTAGAAGTTACAGAAAACATTCCGGTACATCAGAATTATAAATCGACCTAATATTAAAAACTAACTACGCATTCCATCATTTCATCCGTCAAGGATGAATTATCAACACATCTTAAGGCGTCTTTGCTTAGACTAAGATCTACAAGCTGGTACTTCAGTGGTAAATGCATCCCACGTACAGCTCAAAACAAATGTACATATGTACACACAAACGGAAATCCACATATGATACTGCGCTGTTCAACTGTCGAAACATCGTCTTAAAATTGAAGTAGGTCAAACACAGCAAAAGGATACAACCAAAGCATATTTTCCGCAAATGATATTGGATCGCATCGAAGTGTTCATCCGTATATCCAAGGTCTCTCTCTAATGAAGTATACACGTCGGACTGAAATTAGAATATAGTTGTACAAAACGTGTGTAATAAAACATCAACATGAATTCATACACCGATGTTGGCCCAAAGATTTGAACCGGGCTAAACTAGAAGCTAAACATCTTCCAGTATGTGTTGTACCTGGCATACACCTCATCTAATTTAGAAGGAACTCAACTAGAAAATAGCTGAGCTAAGACTGGATTTGGACCAGTGATAAAAACAGCATACTCAAACGCGGTAAGTGCTCTAGCAAATGAGCTACGAAGTCACGTTAGGAGCGTGGATCTCTCACAGTTGTATTCAGTTAGATCCATTGCGTCATACTTATCAGCAACACAACTTCGAAGCTCAACAATAGTTTTATTGGATTCTAGTGTGGACTATTTTAGAGATCGTGTTTGGGTAGTCAATCCCCTAAATAATTTGGTGGATTCCATATGATGCAGTTGGGTGAGCAACTGAATTCAGATACGAAAATTCTGAGGTCCCGGCATGGCTTCGTAGCTCAGCTGGTAGAGCGCTTGCTGCAATTAGGTATACTACTTCTGCTGCTAGTTGGAATCAAGTCGAAGCCCAGATTTTCCGCAATTGTGTCTCTTGTACTATATCGAGTCTCACACTATTTGTCGGTAATAAAGCATCTAGTATCGTGATAGATAACCTCAAGTAAAGCGTTATTTTGCTTTTACCTAAATAAAATCAGGTTTACTGACAGTAGTAGACCAGGTCAAACGTAGATTTGTGCTTATTTTGTCATCAAAATCTAGTCGGGGCCTTCGGCGTGACAGGGACCAGAGCACGCAAAATCTACAATTGGCATATAGTTGCTGGACTGTCTGAGTCGTTCCGGTGTGCACGGCCATGTGTAGACCTGAAGAGCCTTCTAAGTATTCTTAAAATGCCATTAGTTTCTGAAGACCAGTATGAACCACTTTGAGTTTATGGACGTGCGAATGTTTTAAACTAGTAGGAACAATATACATGCTCACCCACACGAACGAAAAAAAAGTATCCGGGAAAAGGATGCAAAAAAATCATACCGCTTGAATTAATAAGAGCCTTGTTGATGTCATTGAGTTTATGGACTTCGAAAGTGGAATTACTGGCTGGATTCATCAGAACAGTATCTACTTCTTTTGTAAACCTGAGTGAAAATGCTTCGTGATGCTCGAATGTGAGGGTTGGAAGCTTTTGAGCAGACGAGATCAAAATGAACTCCCTGCCTATAGCTGGGAATGTATTCACTCCGATTACGGTATTTTAATGTTTGCTCAAAAACTGCACATAATTTTGGTCTTTCGGTTTGGTCGTTATGCCGCCGCAGTGTGTATATCAGGGTTGCATACTCCGCGCAGTTTATGATTGACTGAACAGTCTTCAAACGATAAAAAGAGGCACAAGAAAACTTATCAATATGACTCACCTTTGTCACAACAATTAACAATGGGATCCCGAAAGGGTTGCAAAGAGTTGGTTCACCACCGACGGACACAGTATTTTCATTCACAACAGTCACCGTATGAAGTGGTGTGTACGGCCACTGAAAATCGTCTTCTGTCGACACTGACAAGACACTGGCACGTCTACCAGCAATAACACTAGCTGCCAGTGTAGTACTCAAATTTTCATCATCATTGGCGACCAGAGTACTTTTATTGGATGTTGGATCAAGGTAGGAGTTGAAATGCCCTTCAGCTTTCAATTAAAAATAGCACAGTAACAAATACGTTGATCACACGTTAAATGAGTTTACAGAAGTACCTACTATTAAACGTTGTTTGAAAACCATTTATTAGCACGAAATGACTTTAGATACTTTTACGCCGTTATCAATTTGAATAGGGTTGTGTTTCATTTTGCATCTGCATATCCATATTCTAGTCAAATACTTTGTAGAGTTACCATGAATGTTACCATGAAGGTTAATATTTAAAACTGTTTGAACTAAGGTAAAACTGCGGATAAAATGCACACAAAGAGTTAGGAACTGCAGGTGAATAGGTCGCCTGCCCCAAACCGGCCGGCGTAGTTTAGGCCTCTGCGTAAATGATTTGCGTTCGTATGTTGGGTACATGAATAAGGGGATATACAATCGGAAAGCTTTTCAATTTAGGGTAGGATCGAAAAAAACAACTGAAAATATCGTGGGCTCAACCTCAAGAACGCAAATGGAATGGCATGTATCGTTTTAGGTGATGCTCCAGCATTAAGATGTATACATGTGAAACAGGTTTTGAACGTATTACGAACTAGATGAACTTACACAAAGACCATGGCAATGTGGAATTTTGATTAAATTTTCAAAACCGTTTCACTTAACCCAAGAAGTGAATAAACACTCGGACTAGTCCATGTGAGCACTATGGAATTTTGGTGAACTAGAACACAATCACTAGATCAACAGCTCTGTTGCGTTGCTTCTACGAAACAGTGATCGATTGTTGAAATACACTTAGTTATTGTTCGCTCTTCAGTCCGCCGTACTATGTAGATACGGTAGCCTAGTGGTGACGTTGTTCTCCGGAGCACTGCTATGAAACTGGACCTTTACATTCCCCATTCACTCTGCAGGTTTCACTGACGGTTATGCGATGTAGATGTTTACAAGAATTTCCATTTCACATTACGTAACTCGATCATCACAGCAATCCAAGTTTTGAGCGCCCCATTTCCATCACAGTACACTATATTATATACCGTGCACAACGGATCCATTCTCTACTTTTCGCACAGTATTCACCACAATAACCAGATACCATAACATTCACTCACCATGGTATGGGGCTTGCTCTACCACCGCTGAGCTTGAGTAGCTATAGGGTGATATGATGGTGAGCTGCTTCGTCTAATCTGATGAGCTCTTGCTACAACTGGGTTTCGACGAAAAGCCTGCAGGCAAGTGTGAAGTGAAAACTGGATGGGAGAAATGTGCGTTGATCTCAGGTTGCGGGCTAACTCCTGGTGGACGACAGCATGTCACAGAAAGTGTTCGTCAGCTGGAACGATGAGACTACAGTCAATCAGGAGTGTCCCACTTACTCTGCTGTTATTGATCTGACAGCTTTCAAACAGGCGAGCCGTCCGTGCTTCAAGTAACAGTAAAGCCTAGGGGGGGATAAGCATCCAGCTATTTCACATTCGCTAACCAATCACTTAACGGACTGCCATCAGTAGAAGTTTTTTTAGCTTGAAATACATGAAATTTGGAACTATAGCCCCAACTCACGGTCTTCTGCTTATACTGTACTGAGCTCGTTCGTGATTTACGGTTAGTCCAACTAACCGGAGGTTACAGATGGTGACTAGAAACGTAGCACCGTTGTGAGCCAAGAACACGGACAGCGCAAGGGTTATTTATTCAGGAAACTGTTGTGTTGATAAATGGATTGAGAATAACACAACGTTATGAGCACGTCGTAACTCTGTACGTTTCAACCACCTCGGGTGGCCTTCCTCAGGCAGTACTGCTGAGGAATGCCGGCCACCCGAGGTAGTTGAAACGTAGAGTATTACAACTTGCTCATAACGTTGAGTTACTCTCAAGCCATTTATCAATAACATGTCAAACACGACGCCCAAACTGTTTGACTTCATCCGTACAAAACTGTTTTGTTCCCATTTGGGTGCAATCAACGGTAAACCTTACACGTGATTTTAGAAGCACAAACTATATTGTCCCATTTTAAAGCGCCAGCGTCATTCTTATGTGCGTGGACGAATGAGCCCTTGGTCGTCGAAGGCGCGACCAATCAGAACGCAGCTTGAGTATCAGCACGAATATGGGGCACACAGGCGGTCGTGACGCGAATACAATAGAAACCAACACATGGATTATCCGCTTCAACAAGACCACAAACAAAAACACTCATCTGTGTACGGTACTTGTTCCAGGACGTCACGGCTGCCACAGATGACGATGCTCAGTTCCTGCATATACCGAGAACCATTTCATGCGATGCTGCACACCGATGTTTCTTCCTGTATTTTTCCTGCGGCTACTTCAGTGTCAAAATCCATGCTTTTGCCTCACTGCTGACGAGTATTGCTGTGAGTAGTATAGTGCGATCGCTCGCCCTCACTACACTCCTCCCCCCACAAAGATTGCTCCAGCTGCAGCGAAAGCCGTTCAGGTTCCCTTTGTTCTCTAGACGATCTGCGTATCGGCCTCGGGGACGTTGATGTTCCTGGTGTGCATCCTCTTCTGTTCGGGGTGTCATACAGTTTACAAAGCTGGCTTCCGTGCACTCGATTTCGACTTTTCTCATTCTTACTCAGATACACTGTGCCGCGATGTTCCACTACTACATACGGTCCCCTACACTTTGCCAGAAATTTCCTAGATCCGGGTACTGTTGCTCCCGGACTCCCTCGGTCTCTGTATTTAACCTTCGAACCAAGTTTATACAAAGCACTTCGACCCGATAACCTTGCAGTTGACTGCTCCTTGGAAACCTGTGCATTTGCCAAATTTTGGTTGACCAATCTCCAAGCTTCTGTTAATTTACACTTGCTCATCCGTCGGTCTCCCCATAAACCGATCTCCTGATCGACTGACAGGCGTGGCACGCGCCTGTACATTAGCTCGAATGGCGACTTTTTCGTTGTTTCTTGTTGCAAACAGAGGTGGGTCAACAGAATGAACGGTAGAGTTCCATCCCAGCTTCAAATTTCATCGCCCACCACTCCTTGATTGTGTGATTGTTTCTTTCGATCAATCCATTTAATTGGGGGTGGTATGGCATTATGCGAAGTTGCTTGATTCCCAAGCGCTCCAAACAGTCCCGAAACTCCTCACTTTCGAAGCGGCGGCCTTGATCAGTCAATATGCTTCGCAGTATTCCGTGATCTGCAACGATGTGTTCCATCATCGCCCTGCATACAGTGCTTGCACGCTGATCGGGTATAGCGGCTGCTACAATCCATCTTGTGAAATGTGCAGTCATGACTGACGCATTGGTTTCCGGAAGTGGTTATTGGGAAAGGGTCCATCATATCCAAAAACAATAAATCCCCAATTTCAGAGACCAGAATTGGTTGCGTGGGATACTGACTGGGGTAGTTAGTGCCCTTCAGCAACTGACATTGTTGGCACGCCCGCAAACAATTGTTAAAAACAACCTTCATTCCCGGCCAATATGTCCTTTGCTTCAGCATTTCGTAAGTTCGATGACAGCCCGTATGAGTCAACTGATGAAATCTCTTCACAAGTGTAGCTCTCAACTTCGTCAGTATAACAGGCACGTTTATTCCCACCCTTAGCTGACGCATTAAAATTCCGGCATTATTCAACAGCAAGTCTGACCAATGTATTCTACAAACTTTCACTTTCGGATTCACCTCGTCTTCTGGCGGTTGTTCTCCCGACAGAAAGCGTTCGAACGCCTCCCCGATTGCCGTATCCATCTTCTGTGCTGCTTGTAACTTTCCGCGATTGCTCCATAGTACGATACTGTAAATTCAGATCGCCTCCTTGTGAACCCAATCCACGTGTTGCGTTCGTGACAGCAAATAAGGAACACAGTTCACTACTCAAACTACAGGGCAAATTGCGAAATCGTACACCTGTAATCACAAC